AATTACGATTTTAGTGATGGGGTGGGGGGGGGGAAAACCTTATAAATGTAGTGAGTGTTGGTATAATAACCCTATAGTAGTGGAATTCTACTGTCTGCTTGAGGACAAGCCTGAAACAGACAAGAAAGAAAAATTGTTGTATGCAGACATACAATATCTTTACTGCATAATTCTTATAGTCTTCAATCTTATTTGTTTACAGAGCCATAAACTAGAAAATCAGACACACTTGTCACACTAAACCTGTTACATACTCTCTTCTACAAATTGCTAATTATTCTTTCTGATATTTTATAACATTTATAGCCAATAGAAAGGCAAAGTTTTAATCTATCAAATGATGTATAATGCTACACTGTTTTCAGTACAGAGTATCGTCAATTTCAGCTTCAGTTTGAAAGTTTATCTCTCAGTATTCATATTGAGCACCTAAGGGAATTATCTTAAGCATCTCTTATATTAGTTAGAAAGCCAATTAAATTATAATAGTTATAGGACATTGTTTACTTTGTGCTTGTTATTAATGTATCCTTAGGTACACTATTTAAGTAAATAAGAATTATTTAAAATGACCGCAAAATATAAAAAAATGAGGTCAAAGTTATTGCTATATTTCTTGTTTTTTTAAGTATATTTTTTATTTATTGTTATAAAAGTATCTAAGAAGTAAAAATTATAAACTTATTAGGTTATATAAGGTAAGATGAAGAAAAACAATAATAGTAAAAAATATTCAGAAGGTTCGCTTTGTAAAAGGTTGAAAAGTTGTGACATGCACATTGTAAGATGGTTAAATACATACCGCATTGAAAATGTTAAGCACAATAATTTACAGGAGTAGTAGAAGTGCTGTTTTAGTAAATAATCCTATGTATACAATATACCAAAAGCGTTTTTATAATATTTACTCCAAGATATCTATGTATTTTTGACAAGAAAATGACAATTTTTCTAATTTTAAATAATACTTTGGATAAATACTGAAAGTGGTAATTTTAATACTGATGCTATAACTGTTGACAAAACCTATATGGATGCAATTTTATTTAATTTTAGTCCTTATCATTTGCTTGGAGTCAAATTGCATTAATGTATAGAATTAAGACAAGGGAATTGTAACACATAAGATGGTTGTAAAGATTACCACGTTAAAACAGTTCTAACAATAAATGAATGGGTCACCATTAAAGAACTCCAAAAAGTTATGGAAAAATATTAATTTTTATAATGAAAATTACCACCTACACAGAGAAAGTCAAAGACACTTCTATTTCTTGTGAATAAACAACTCTGCTTTGTATCAATGTTACTGATGAAAAGTGAAAATTAACCATTTTTGAAGAGAATATGTAAAATAAAACACAAATTGGATAACATTTATTAAATATTTACAAGTTGGCAGATATAATGATGATGAACATTAGGGTTAATATCGGTTACAGTTCTGAATTTATAATATAATGAAAGACAATGAAAAGCAGAACTCATTACTCAAGTGAAAGAAGTTCAATTGTTCGTGTAAAAAACAACATTTTTAGTAAATACAACATAGCCATGATGTAAGGAATTTATAAAGTACAAGTAAAAATGAAAGCAATGAGTGAAAATTAAGATGAAAAAAATCATTTTTGCAGGTGACCTAACTGTTCAGAAATCATTCCCATGGAAGAATGGAATAGTCTGATTTTATGTTAAATATAAGTAAAAAAAGATCAACCTGATGTGTTGATGAACAAAAATTAAATTGTGAAAATCAACTTGTGATTATTAATGATTGCATTGCAATTTGTATTATTTCAAACTACTATAATTGTGATGAATGTAAAGGATTGATGTGCAGCCACATGCAATAGTGATAATATATGTAAAAAAAAAAAAAAAGTGAAAAAAAAGTTCGCTTTATGAAATTTTTAGTTGTATTTTTTTACAAGATATTTTAACAAAAAATTATGTGAAATATGTTGATGACAGCCAATATTTTAAGCCTGAAGAAATGAGGCACTTAAAAGCATACATTACATAGTTAGATTGTCTTTTTCTTGTCAAACAGCCATAATTAAAATATAAATAAACATTCACACATAAAAGTTTTTCAAATACTTAATGTAAAACAGTTTGGAAATGGCTTGAATGGGTAATAAAGAAAATTGTTGTTGAAATTATAGACAACTCACTTTAAAAAACAAACCACACACCACACCAAGATCAACAGAAAACTGCAATTTTGAGCACTATCAGTGGGGCAAACTGATATGAAAATGCACAAACTCACACCAGGTAACAATACCTGCAATAAGACCAACTTAGAACCATAATTCTGAGCAGTCAACTATCAAGAGCAAGGCATAATTAATAACAGAGGCTGTTACCAAATGTAACTTTAAGACGTTTTTCATTCATAACATAGCAAACAAAAGAATAAAAACTATATTAAGCCATTTTCCACACCTAAGACAATACAAAGCTTCACTGAGTGATATTAGGGTACTGCACACACGTAAGCATACTTATGATAATAAATAGGTTAACTGTTCCTATGAGCCAGACTTTCTAAGACATTTTTGGATGAAATTTTGAAACACTAAACAATTATATGCTTTTATAATTTTGTTTAAAGTAAATACTACATGCAAAGTTTTCATCAGTAAAACTGAAGCAACATACTGGCAATGAGTATCACCTGTTTAACAAAAAAAAAAAGACTACTACTCAATTTATAGTGCATTCTGTATTTGCAATGTTTGACTAAAGACAGTTTGTTTACTGTAAACTAATACAGTTTGGTTGTACGCAGAAAAACATGATACTGTCATGTAGCAAATAATGAAACAGAAATACACTCACGATCATTCACAGCAGCAGGCTTTTTCGGATCAGGTGCACCATCTGAAATGTTTCATATTAAAGAAAAAAATATTTTTATTGATTTTCTCATTACAAAGGTAAAAATATTACACTATCAGATAGTTCAAACAAATTATCTTCTATACTGAGTATTTAAGATTTTCATGAAAATGTAGACATCTGTATCAAATAGTTTGCACCATTCATAACATCTATATTACAGATATACACTACCACTGAATTGCACCCAGAATGTAAAATTAACATTTTCAGAATTAAGATGAATTTCAAACAGGTAGTTAATTCACTAAATACAAAAAGCTTTTCTTCTTTGAGTTGCTTTCAGCCACATGACAAGTTCTGAATGTCCTTGACACTACACAGTATATGTATTAACTTACCCCTAGAGTTCTCTACTCTCCCATGTGATTTGTTGTGAATCCAGAACACAAGTTCTGCTTTCCTGCTATAATACAAATCTTGTAGTTGCAGTCTTGATGGAAAGCATTTATCAACCAGTTGTGGGGAGGTGGGCAAGAATGTGTTTAAGATATAAATAATAGTTTGTACTTTAATCCAATTCTAAAAAATGTAAAATTCAATGGAAAACAAAAACAAACACCTTTGAAATATGAAAATTCAGAATACTCCCAATGAGATGGAGAAAGAAACTGAAGACAGTAATAGGACCATTGAGTCACCAAAACAGACAGTAACAGCCTAGAACCAAGAAAAATGAAAGATGTGATCAAGTAGGGATTGAATAGAATCAAGAACCAAAGTAAAAGTCAACAGACTGGATTCATGGAAGAAACAAATGGTGCAGCCTAGCCTCATAAGACACTGTGAGACAACACAGACATTAACAAAGACATTAAGAAAAAAAAATATTCTTGAACAGGTATTTCATTGCCCTAGACACCTTTTAATTAATTGGCGAAACCACAGCCAAGGGAACGGGCTTGGAAAAATCCAAGCCAGTTCCCTTGGCTGTGGTTTCGCTAGATAGCATGTACCTATCAAGCCATCACATTCTCAGGTGTGGTCACATGAGATGGCAGAACAGGAAGTGGAACAGTTCTGAAGGAGTAGATGAGTAATAACTGAACAATGGGCATGTTCCTGAGGCTAAGCATCCTATATCTATATATTGGAGATGGTCAGCCAAGTCAATGATCAGCCAGGGAGAATTAAAAAGGCCTATAGAGATCCTTGGATGGGGTCTAAAACATGAGGATAGTACAAATGGAACAGACTAATAGGTTATGAAAGATAAAAATAAAGGTTTTACTCCCCATCATGGTTTGAGCTATAAGACATTACACTGAGAATGATCATCTCAGTGCTTGCTACACAAGAATGTGCAAGACTGGAAACACAGCCACCGAGGCATCAACAGTTAAGGTAGTATTCTCTGACCACTTCCAGGGATATCACATTCTTGTGGAGCAAAATGCAGAGGATAAAATGTTAGCTAGAACAATCACAGGGTGTATGTAACAAGCAAACGTCCTAATGGATGAATCTATTCAAACCCCGAGTCTCATATTATAAGAAGAAAGTTTTTTGTGTTTTTTCGATAAATGTTTCCACATTAAGGAAAATGTGTCAAAACTTGGGTCATTAAAATGATAGGCTCAGAAAATGCCACTGAACAAGTAAAGCAGCCCTGTGACCAGCAAAGAAAGAAGCTGATACCCATGATGCCATGATCATGGAACAAATATGTAAAACAGAAGCAAACTCTTAAGCAGTTGAAGGTACAGAATATACAATGTTTAATGCATCAAATCTGGAAGGCAAGAAGATTGAAAAGCAATGACGAATAATTTTCAGCAAAAATGGGTTAATAATCAAGCCTCTCAGAAAGAGAATCTGTTTTATTGGACAAAGATCTAAACAAAAGCCAGCTATAAGTCACAGAAATTGAACATCACTGGGAAAAAAAAGAATGACTGAGAATGCCGAACATGATCACATGGTGGTAATTGGACTGGCTCCCTGTGAAGTTGATATAAAAGGAGGAAATCATGATTTAGGCTGGCAAAAGGGAAGTAATATGAAGAATCCTGTACTGTGATTAACTGTATTTGGCAATTTACTTGAGGTAGAAATAAACAACATATGCTGGTAATAAAATCTAGGAAAACTTTAATCTGACACAATGTTTCAGGCCTAAGCAAGTTGAGAATGAACCCAAGAAATCAATGAAACTGCAGCAAAGCAAATGCTGGTAGTACAAATACAACCCTAACTGAAGATAAAAGCTACAACTGTGGAATTGTCTGTGTGAACTCACAGAGAATGATGATGTAAAAGGGGCAGAAATTTAAGACAAGCATGGCAAACAACTCAATGTTCTAATGCATGAAATGAGCTGTTGAGGGATACCAATTCTCCATCACAGCATCTGAACTGAGAGAGAAGCATCTAGGAAAAGATGAAGGATTTTAGAATGAGGATGAAAAAGAGATTCTGCTGCCACAACTTTGATGTAACCCAAACTGAAGAAACAAGCTGCATAACAATGCTTCTCATGTCACACACCACTAAGAAGCAAGATTCAATTGGAAAGGGGTGCTGTTGGATGTGAGTGCACCCTAAGGGCGTGACTTTGTCAAATAAACACATTGTTCACAAAGCAAAAAAAAATATCTTTGGCAGTAGGTGTGGAAAACATGAGACTCTAAAGTTTGCAACATCACAGAAAATGGATGAAATTCATCTTGAACTGTGTCATCTAAACTACTGTGTTGGTATTAAAATTGGAATTAGATATATGGATTACTCACACAAGAGATGTAGCCAGCTGGGTGGTCAAGTCATCATGTGTGTGTGTGTGTGTGTGTGTTTGACTGAACAAACAGAAGTGTTAGAATAAGCCAGTTGGTTCAAGTAAAAGTAAAAATTAATATCTAAAGAATGGTAAAATTCCGGCAAATACTGGAATATGGATGCAGTTGAAGGGAAGGGCAATGAAGAAATTGCAGGATAATGGACAAATAGGGATATGAATATAAGAAATTTTTACATCCACCATTATAATTATCCAATGGTCATTATGAGGGATCTTTCATAACAAATATATATTTCCCATTTTAAAATGAGGTTGGGTGATCATTTTTTATAGCAAAGCCACATTGAGCTATCTGCTGTGTTCACCGGGGAGAATCGATCCCAGGATTTTGGTGCTGCAAGTCAATAAATTTACCACTGTCCCATTGGGGGACTTTAAAATGAGATGTCTTTAGGGAAATAAGAGTTAAAACAGATCTCCAATCTCTTGATCTCTTTGGAACCACAAAGCAATAGGAGTAGAAACCTGAAGAATCATGATAAATACATTTTGACTGTTCCTTTCTGAAGAAGGTATACCACTTCTTCATCCAGAATGTGTAAGCAAATGGATTAGAAGGAAGAAGAAGAAGAAGACATTAAGACTTGACTGAAGGATCAGCCAAATCCAAGGATCCAATACAATCCTTTAACAGTTTAGATGGGAGATTTGTCCAGAACAAAAGCAATTAAGTATCAATTATTAGTAATTTTGGCCACTTGAGAGGATGAAATGGAATGAGTAGAAGTAGCAGACATCAACTGAGAATTAGATGAGGGAGGTAAGATCAGATTACTTGCTGGTTGTCTCAATAGAAATGACTACCAGAAGTCAAATACTAAAATACTAGTCAGCTCTTTCAAAGCAAACAATCTCTAAAGTTAGCTCAAAAGTGTGTGCATGTGTGTGTACTTCATAATAACATATGATGATTGAAGATGTCAAAAACATAGGAGCTGCAGCTGAAGAAGATTACAAAGTATTTTTTTTTCTCCTGAATAATATTTAGAAAAATTAGGTAACTTATTAGAGCTGGGAAATGTAATTGATTATCTATGAGCAACATTTACAGTGTCACCCAGTCAATTAATCCAAATTAGTGTTTCCAATTACTTCAATAAACAATTATTCAAAATTCTGATTACATTGACTTTCACAAAACTAATCCAAATTAGGATTTAATATTACTAACATTTTCAAATATTCCAGCTATCCAAGTAATCAGAATATTACCACCAAACTTTCTCATTATGTTTTTGTTATAGTAAAGTTACTAAGGCTATCTTCCACTACCACTAATTTTTAAAAGCTAACTACAGGGAAGACAACTGGGATCACCCAGTGCAAATGTTTTTTGTTTTTTTTGCAGTTGTTGTTATTCATGAACTGCATGCTAGAGGCAGATTACATGAGTAAGGCCTCATAAGAAGTTTAGATATTGGTAGAAACATTTGCAGCAGTGGTAAACATCAACTTCTAAAGTAACAGTGAGCAAAGTTAATAGCATGATCATCAATAAAAAGTCTGAATCACAGTAGGACACCAGAGCTTATATAATCCTCCTAACATACGTCACATGAATAACTCTGCATGGTGACAAGGACATTAGGACTCTAGTCACATGGTTGTTGACAGCATGAGCACAACTCAAAAAGTTTTTTTTTTCTGTTTTTAATTTTAATATATACAATCAATACTATATTTGTAACTTACACATTACATGAGGTGCTTGTGCTGTATAATTTGGGTGTGTGTAGTCTGTCTTTTTTTTTTTTTTTACCCAACTCACCAAATAATCCAAATCTTTTTGTAAGTCAGTAGTATCCTCATCACAGCCAGCACCACCCAAAACTTATTTATCAGGAAACTTAAATAATCTGTTAACCATTCCTTTATTTATGTTATTGATGTAAATCAAAATTAGCAGAGGTTCTAACACTGAGCCCTGAGGTACGGTACATCATTTGTAAAATTAATCCAGTTTGACTGAATTCTGTTTATAACAACCCTTTAATTTCTTCCATCCAGCCAGTTTTCTATTCAATGAGTCAACTTATCCCCAACACCTACAGAGAATTTTATTTTTAACAAGCCTTTTATACGACATCTTGTCAAATGCTTTCTGAAAATACAGATATACCACATCTACACTGTACCCTCATATACGTAAACAGTAAAGTATTTATCAAAAGATTAGAAAGGCAAG